ACCTCTTGGCAGCTAACATGATACTTGTCGAATTACAGACTTGGCGACGTGGAAAAAACGACGAGGTGAATATTGACACAGGGGGAGGCTGACAAGACCGTGGCAGTCCGAATTTTTTATAAAACCGAAGGATACCATTTCTTAAACGATAAAATTTAAAGAAGATGTAATTTGCTACCAAAGGAGCACAAGAAAGAACTTTTTCGTGCATCTTTCCTATAAAATATATTTTCATTCTTAAAGGCAGTTTAAATCAAAGCTAAAATGCATGCTACTTAAGTAACCATTTTTTGCCGTACATACTTTTCGTTATCGGTCAGAAAGAAGTCTGTTAAGAGTCCAGCATCCTATCGTGGCTGAAATGACTTGCTTATAGGCTACAAGATAATCAGTATTACAAACTTACTTAATGCTGATTAGCGCGTGAGTATCAGTCTTTCGGAGCCGTACATGCATACTGAAGCAAATTCGCTAGAGTCAGTAAAACTCTATTACCCGTATAAAGGCTACGCTTCAATTATATCAGCAAACATACAATGACCGGATTGCCCTGCGTTATACTGCAAAACAAATCAGAGGTACTCTCAAAAATGTTCTTGTTGGAATTTTAAAGCCTATTGGGAACTGAGGAGGTCTTTTATTTGCTCAAGGTCGTGCCCGTTTCCCGCTAATGTATATTGCAAATAAAAAAACTATTTAATCGCGTACTAATGAATATATAAGTAACAACATTCTGCAGGGCGGTTGCTTTTCTCTTACTTGCGGAAGGTGTTTGTCCGACTAGGCAACTTATGTGGTACATAGGTATTGACCAGACTGGCGGCACATGTACTCGCTAAAAGCCTATAGCACAGGTAACCAACGTCATTCTAAAAAATAATTACGTACTTGCGTACTACTGACTGACTGTGGCAAGCTTGTGAACAGTGCGAAGCTGGTCCACATTGGCGGATGGATTTCAGCCAAAATGTCTATATATAGTACGTGCCAGAATTCGTGCAACATGCCGACATATGCGAAAGATTGACACTCTTTCGCTAATCGGCATTGACTCATGTTGTGATACTGATTGTCATGTAGTCTATTCTAAAGTTATTTCAGTCATAAGAGCATGCAAGCTTTTTAATGAGCTTCGTTCTGACCACTAACAAAACTTATATACTGTAGGAAGAAACTATTAAAATAGTATGCGTATTTATCATTGATTTTGACTGCCTTTATGAATTCAAATATATCGTGTGGAAAACGTAAACGAAAAAATATTTATTGTAGTTTTTTGGTAGCAAATTACTCCTTCTTTAAATTTTATAACTAAATAAACGGCATCTCTCGGTTTTAAAAAAAAACTTCTTAACTCCCGGATAATTTTGAAACCAACTGATTGCTTCACTCGAATTCAAGGTTTAAAAACTGTGCACTGTGTACATTCTGTTTAAGGAAAAGTTTTGTTTTCGCATACTGTTTGAGGAAGAAGTCACATAGTTCTCATAAAATATTGCAGCAGACGTGGAACATGCTGTAAAAAGTATAGGCAGCATTGAAAAATTGACGGATGCGATGTATTATGAATGAAAACTTCATATTCGTAAAAAAGCTCATGATTAGAAATTTTTTAAACCGAAATTTGCCCTTTATAATTTAAAGAAGGCGTAATTTGCTACCAAAGAGCACAGAAAATACTTTTAACGTGTGCATTTTCCATAACACATATTTGAATTTATAAAGGCAGTCAAAATAAATGATAAAGACGCATACTATTTACGTAGTTACTTTTCACAGTATATACGTTTTGTTAGAGGTCAGAAATAAGCTCGTGAAGAAGCCGACACCCTATCATGACTTAAATAACTTCTGAATAGCATAAAAGATAATCAGTATCGCAACCTGAGTCAATGCCGATTAGCGAAAAAATGTCAATCTTTCGCATTTGTCGGCATGTTGCACGAATTCTGGCGCGTACTGTATGTTGATAAGGGTGCAACAGGTCAAACGCAGACAACCATTTTACGGCTGCTACCGATCGTCATTACGGTAGACGACTTATGGACTAGGGTATACAGACAAGTCAGCTTAGTGCGTTACTCACACTTATGTGG